GGTTTGTTTCACAGCTAAGGATATGGTCTAACTTGGTCACTTTTCTATTGGTGCCTGAAAAGAATGTGCATTCCATTGTTGTTTGTTGCAGTATTTATAAATACCAGTTGGACACTGTTATTTGTTCTTATGTATCCTARATGATTTCCTGTATAGTATTTCTATAAATTGCTGTTCAGATTAAAGTCCCTATAATTCTTTTTATTTCATAATACATTGTTTTAAGAAAATGTGTACAACTCCAGGTGGAGTTCCAACTATGCATTTCTAAATTAGATTTTTTTATATGGAAGATAATGTTTGTTAAACATTTTATTATGAATAAAATAAATACAAAGATAAAGAGAACAATATAAGAAACTCTTACTTTGTATTTATCACACAGTTTCAGTAGTCATCAGCATTTTGTTATTATTTTATCAAAACCACCCTTCCCCTAGCTGTTGGATTATTTTAAAGTGGGTCCAAACACTGTGTTTTATCTATAAGTACTTTGATATRTTCCACTAAGACCTGAGAACTTTTTATTTCTTTTTATTTAACATAACCAGTAAGCCATTATCACACCTAAAAAAATAACAGAAATTCCTTGATATTATCTAATGCCCATTGTTTGAATTTCTCTAAATATGTCATGTCTTTTTAATGTTCATTCATTTCAATTAAGACCCAAACAAGGTCCACAAGTTGCATTTGGTTAGTAGGACTGTTAAGTATCTTTGAATAAAGAGAAGACTCATCCATATTCTTTCTCTTCTACATTATATGTTGAAGAAACAGGTCATTTGTTGCCTTCTGAATCTAGCTGAGATATTGGTCTTTATAGTGTTCATTATGTTCCTGTCTCTTACACTGTCTATGAATGAATTGTTAGAAATGGAGCCTTGATGAGATTCAGATTTCAGTTTTTCTTTTGCAAGAATACTTAATACCTATTGCAGTGAAATTAATTATGTGAGGATGTACATAATATTTGGCTATTTTTCATTTTGTAATGTTAAAACTGGTGAATGCAAATATTATTAGCTAATCCATTCTTGTAAACTTTTCTTCAACCTATCACCTGAAAGATTTGAGCAGCTATTAATAATGATTATTGTTCAAATTCATTATTTCATTAGGAGTTACAAATGATGCCATTTTTTATCATCTTTATTTATACTTGAATCATGCTGTCAGGAACTTCTTTTTCAGCAGTTATTTGGTCCTCTTCAATAATTTTTAGATATAAGTATGATCACCTTTTGTCACCAGGCTGGCAAGATGACCTGGGTTCAAAGGAGTTGGCTGCAGCAATAACTAAGAAAATGGTGAAGAAACCATGCAACATATGAACATGAGTTTCAAAGGTCAAGGTTGGGACTGCTCAGTGACCCCAAGGGTCAACTCCATGCTGGGCAACATAGAAAGAGAGAGAGAGAGAGTGTACCTAGAACCCCCCTATTTATTGGGGAAAAGACATTCAGTAGAATATTCCACCCAAATAAGGGAAGGGGTAGGGTTTCGAAGAGTGGAGTCTTGCTTGGTGATGTCTTGTGATCAGCAGATTGATTGACATCTTGGCAAGTCAAACCCATCTCAGGTGCTGTGTGAGATCACAGGCAAGTGAGAGGAAAGGCACTTTGCATTGCACAGTCCAATCAGCACACAATGCCAGACCAGTCCCTTGGCATTGTGTGCTGTGAAGATTGGTACATTTAATTATATATAAATTTTACTGGAAAATGTATTAAAATAATTTTACCTGAAAGTATTAATGATTTTCATTATAAAATATTTAGGAGGGGGCTGGCCTTGTGGTGTGCTCACCTAGCAAGTGCGAGGCCCTAGGTTCAATCCTCAGCACCACATAAAAACAAATAAAGGTATTGTGTCCAACTACAACTAAAAAATAAATATTAAAAAAAATATTTAGGAGGAACTGTACTAATGTTTGCAATTTACTTTGAAATGCACCAAAATGTAAGGTAAATCAATAGATAAATAAAAACTTGGGTAAATGTGTGATAAAGTAAGTAAAATAAGTGAACTATGAAATTCTTTTAAATTTTATGTGTGATTAAAAATTTCCATAGTAAGGATGGACTGAGGCTGTAGCTCAGCGSCAGAGTGTTTGCATAGCATGCATGAAGCACTGGGTTCGATCCTCAGCACCTCCTAAAAATAAACAAATAAAATAAAGGCCATCTACAACTACAAAAAAATTGAAAAAAAATCATTAGGGAAATGGGGATGAGTTTTAAGTTTTGTTTTTAACTAAAGTTTATTTTATATTTAAGGTATAATTAACATGACATCATTGTTTTATATATATATATATATATACACACACACACACAGTTGCTGTAGTGGATTGTATATTTTTTCCTAATCTGTAGGTTGCATTTATATTTTGTTGACTGTTTCTTCTGCTATGAAGGAGCTGTTTTGTTTGATATAGTCTTGTGTATTTATTTTTGCTTTTGTAGCCTGAATTATGTGGTATCCAAGAAATCATTGCCAAGGCCAATGTCAAGGAGCTTCCCCTGTTTTCTTCTAGTTTTATGGTTTCAGGTCTTGCTTTTATTTTAGTTCTGTATAAATCTGTTTTTATGCCATAACACAGYATCTAAGGCTAGGTATGTATAAAAATTTGGAGGCTGAAAGTCCAAATTGCATGGCACTGGTTCTGGTGAGGGCTGCCTTTATATGTGTCACATCTTGGTGAATGGCACCATGGTAGGAGTGCATGAGAGTGAGATCCCATGGCAAGGCAGGAAGGTAGAGATTGAGGAGAGGACCATTTTTTTTCTCTTGAGGGGACTAATGTTTCTTAAGGGAACTTTGTTAATCCCTTCCAATGGCATGCCCCAGTGACCCCCACTAGGCTCTGCCTCTTAAAGTTTCCACCACCTCTCATGCTATCCCACTGGGGATCAATCTTTTGTCACATTAATCCTTGGGGGACAACCCATATCCAAATCATAGCAAGTTCAAAATTTTTTCTGCTTGATCTAGGATGCTGTTGAAGCTCTCTACTATGTTCTATATTTGTTAATTGAATTATTCAGTTCCAAGATTTTTGTTTGATTCTTCTTTATGATATCTATTGCTGTTGAATTTCTCATTCAGATCATGATTGTTTTCCTGATTTTGTTGAATTATCTGTGTTTTCTTACATCTCACAGAGTGTCCTTAAGAAAATTATTTTTATTCCTTTTAAGGCAGTTGGTGAATCTCCATTTCTTTGGAGTCATTATTGGAGAATTATTGTTTCTTTGGTACTGTCATGTTTTCTTGCCTTTTCATGTTCTTATGTCTACAAATCTGGTGGAAAAATTACCTTTTCTATATTGCACAGAGTAGCTTTTGTAGGGAGAGATTTTTCACCTGCATATATGGGTCTTAGTGTGCTGGATGGGAAGAGTATGGCTGTGATTCCCTGAAGTGCAGTGGTATAGCCTCTGTATGGTTTCTTAAGCTTTGATCAACATCAGCGATAGTGCATGTGCCTTGGTGACTTAAGCTATAAGAGTTTATAGCAGGAGTGACAGCAGCATAGGTCATTAGGATCCTCAGCAGCAAGGACTTTTGTGGTCCTCCTTTTCTCATTTCTCTCACAGTGGTGACTCTTAGCTTAGGGATTCTTCTTTGTGTTGAGTCTGACCTAGTCCTTGACTCAGGGACTCACAAACCTGTGGTAGTATTTAGACTTTGGGGGTGCAGGTTTGCTCTGAGGCAGAGTTGGATACAGATTGCTGATAAAAGTAGTCTGTCATTCTGAGGCAYCTCCAGCAGCTTGGGCCCATGGTCTGGATTATAGATGTGACTTGGACTCCGAGGGCCCGCCACAGCACTGGCTCAACTACTAGGTAGAAGGGATGCAATGGAGGATTGGGCGTGGGAAGCAGGGTGCAGCTGCTTCAGGACACAGTAGTGACTCAGGCCTCAAGGGATCATGTTTTGAATAGTGATGATGGTGGGACCTGGCAATGTCCCAAATTCTGTGAGGCTAACTGCAGCTATAGCAATGACTCTGGGATGGCAGAGCTCAGCTGTTGCTTGAGCCCTGGAATGTAGGGGGGTAGTACAGTGACAGCTGCACGCCTTGGTCAGGGGTGTATCTCACCAGCTTAGGCTCCAGATGGCTAGTTCAGTTCCAGGGAAGCAGGACACTACTATTGTTCAACCTGTAGGGTTGGGTACAGCTCAGCCAATGCTGTTTCCCTAGGAGATGGGGTGCCATGTCAGCTCAGCCTGGGATGTATTGTTGCTTGATTTGGGTCAAGGCACCAATTCCTTGGAGGGTAATGTGCGGCTTCAGGTCAGGTACAGGAGTGTGGGGCTGCTCTGGGTGGCCAAGACACTGTTTACCCAGTAGGCAGGATACCACTTTAGTTCAGGCCTTGAGGGGCAGGGTGCAGCAGCAGCTGAGAGGGTAGATGGAATGGCTTTGTGCTCCCACAGGGTAGGGTGTAGCAGTAGCTTGTCTCAGAGATAGTGGGCCACTAGGTAGTGGTGGTTCAGTAGCAATAAGGCCTCAGGAATGAAAGGGTACTGTGATACTCACCCTGGAGCAGGATACTCCCAGCAAGATGCTATGTACAGTATACACATGAATCATAAAGTGTAGAACACAGTGTCGGCTTCGTGTGAAGACTGGGCACACCTCCTTCAGTCGGGCTTAGCACCTGTGAGGACAATATGAGTCCCAGGTAGTGAGGATTGTAGAGATCCAAGGTGGGATTCTCAGGACCGCTCTGGAAATACATGCCCATAAGTCCTGAGCAAGAGATGCTGAGCAATTATTGTGCCCCACAATAACTTGGGCTTTACCTCCACTTGGATAATGGGGCATGGCTCCAGGAGTAGGCGTCACCCGGTGGGGTTGAGCTACAATCACCTGTTCCTCTGTAATCCCACCCCTTGCCCCTTCTGATGTAGAATGTTCCATGGAACCTCCCCTTGTGTGTCCCCTATATAAGAATAAAGAATTCCAGTGGCTCTCTCTCTTTCCACAGGCCCCTAAGGTCACAGAGCCATCCCCGGATTTTGAAAAGGTACTTCTGTGTATTTGCGTGCTTTCTTGGCTGTTTTCTTAAGTTATCAGAATAGTCAGATTTTGTGAACSCAGCCTTAGGTCGCCAGCTAGGATAGATGGCAGTAGGTGGTGGTTGCTGGAGTCCTTGCTTACCTTTCTCTTAGTTCTGTGCTAACTGCTACTTAGGGGTGGCAGAGGTGAGGTATTGCCTTTGTTCTTTGTGACTAGCCTGGGTCTCTATACTTTATAGGGTTTCTACTACTCCTTTAATGTACTTTGGCACKTTTATTTAGTTATTTTCATCAAAATGTAGTTGTTTGTTGCTTTGCCTGTCTCTGTGTTGGTGGATGAGTGCTAGGATTTCTAGTCAGCCATGCTGTTGGCATTAYTCCCTGGTATGAGTTTTTTAAAAAAGGAGTTAAATTAAAAACAATTGCAAAAGTCATGTTCCAAATTCCTAAATACTGTTTTTGCATCTCCAGAAACTAACTGTTCACATTGAACAGGAATTTTCCCTTTACAGGGATCAGTGTCCTTCAGGGATGTGACTATAGATTTCAGCAGAGAGGAATGGCAGCATCTGGATCCTGCTCAGAGAAACCTCTACCGGGATGTGATGCAGGAGACCTACAGCCACCTGCTCTCAGTAGGTAAGCTTTGTCACCGTGGTATCTGAAAGGAGGTTTCTGAGAGTGTTTCCACTCTCAGTTGGATGAATTCAGTGGAGCAATGTCCAGAATTCTTTATCTCTTTTGAGAATCTTCATGAGCAATGTCCAGAATTCTTTATCTCTTTTGAGAATCTTCATATTACTCTATTCATAGAGATACATGACTACTCTTCTTAAAAACAAACTCTATTGACCCATAAGATTAATTGGGCAGCTGGGCGCGGTGGCACATGCCTATAATTCCAGCAGCTAGGAAGGCTGAGACAGGAGGATCGTGAGCTCAAAGCCAGCCTCAGCAATGGCGAGGTGCTAAGCAACTCAGTGAGACTGTGTTTCCAAATAAATACAAAATAGGGCTGGGGATGAGGCTTAGTGGTCCAGTGCCTGAGTTCAATCCCCGCTACCAAAAAAAGAAAAACAAATTGATAGATTGGGCTCTGAAACTGAATTAGCTGGAACCAGTCCTCTGTCATTTCCCACGAACAGGGTATCAAGTTCCTGAGTCAGAGGTTTTCATGGTGGAACAAGGACAGGAGCCGTGGGCACTGCAGGGTGAGAACCCACACCAGAGCTGTCCAGGTGAGTGAGTGTCATCCTTGTAAATGGGAGATAAGGGAGTTTCAGCAACGCAAGAGAGCAAATCTCAGCTGTCTTTAAGAATCTGAGGTGCTTTGAAATGCTTTTCTGGAAGGTACTCAATTTTTTGAGTGTCCTCGAATTGACTTCTCAGATAACTAAATGCCTTCTACCTGACTGACCTTTGCCATTTTTGTCTTCCTTGGCTTTTTGAATTCTGCCCGTAACAATTGGTCTCATTAAGGATTATTCTTTTTTGTTATGCCCTTTTTCTCTTAACTTTTTTTAAAAATCCCAACCTTTCATGTAGTTCTAGAGTCTTTGTTTACATATCCAGGCATTTATGGATCTACTTTACTTCAGATTTACTATGTGACACATATTCACATTCCTGTTAGACCCTTTTTCTTTCTGAGATGCCTCAGAACTTTTGTCTCCTGCTGCCCCCACCCATGTGGGCAGCTGAACTTAAGGTGGCTCATGTTAATTTCCAGGGACACCAAATAAAACACAGACACACACTTTACCTTTAAACAAGCTTCAGGACAGCTTCTCCACTCTTGGCCTTAGGCTCCCCAAATGGGAGAGCAAGAGAAAGTCATGAGAGGCTGTCGAGAGAGAGCGAGCACATTCAGAAGTGGGCCTTTATTGGGAGGACCCTTGTTCTGAGAAAGTTCCATCCAAAAAAGACCAGAAGGGGCAGGATTACAAGGGTCAGGTGAGTGTAATTCAAGGGGCATAGCCCACATCTGAAGACATGCCCTTAACTTCCTGAACTGGGACAACGAAATATAGTGRTGGTCAAAGCCTTGCTTCAGGATGGAAGGCGTGAGTCATTCAGAGTGGCTCCCTACAGTCTCCAACCTGGGTCTCCTCCTGTTTTCTCCATAGTTATTTCCATGAGATTTTTCCTTTCTTTTTTTTTTTTTAAATATTTATTTATTTATTTATTTTAGTTCTCGGCAGACACAACATCTTTGTTTGTATGTGGTGTTGAGGATCGAACCCGGGCCGCACGCATGCCAGGCGAGCACGCTACCGCTTGAGCCACATCCCCAGCCCGATTTTTCCTTTCTTCACAGTTTCCCAATTGATGATTTGGGGGTCACTGTCACTTAACCTTTAGGTATACTTATACGTGATACTTGACATTATCAGTCACCTTTCCCAAACTTTCCTTCTCATGCTGCTTGAGTGACTTCACACTAACTAGGGTTTCTCTCCCTGATCGGTTGGATTTATTGTTAYGACTTTGTGTACCTTACCTGCTTGAGTTTAATCATAGTCTTCAGTTTAAGACTCCCACTATAGGTTACTGTTTTGCTGAGGATTGAATCCAGGGGCGCTTAACCACTGAGCAACCTCCCCAGTCCTTTTTATTTTTTATTTTGAGACAAGGTCTTGCTAAGTTGCTGAGGGCCTTGCTGATTTGCTGAGGCTTCTCTCAAACTCATAATCCTCTTGTTCCAGTCTCCCAAGCCACTGAGATTATAGGCACGTGCCACCTGGCTGATAGAGACATTTTTAATTCATGCTTGTTATAAAATTTATAGTAAATTAGGGCTATATATCATTAGATTACATAAATATAACTTTGCAATATATCTTGTTCTTTGCCTTATTTTTTTCCACATGTCCATAGTGCAATCTGCTTTGTTTATTTCCTTTCTTGAATTGTATGCCAGAATGTTTCCTATCAATACCATCATCAACCTCTTCATCAAATGACACTCACCCTTTTCTCTTTGTTCAACCTGGATGAGGTATTTGTACCCTTCCCTTTAGCCTCTTTTAGCTGTTCTTTGAGCTAAAATCACCTCTTTCTTTTTTGAGAAGATGTATTTGGGTTTCAGACCTTATAACAGATTATGAAAAAGCTTCTTTCCACATTGAGCAGTGGGGTGGTATTACAAGTGATGTTTTCTTGTATTTCATTCTAGAAGAATTGCAACAGATTGGTGATCAGATAGTCACCTATCATCAAACAGGAAGTAAATCAATAAATGATACTGCTTTCATCAAGAAAATATGGACTACAAAGAGTCATCATGAGTATGAAGGCATTACAGAAATTATCCACATTAGCCCAAACATTATTCCCCCCTCCAAAAGACCCCACCAGTGTGGCTCATTTGGGAATGTCTTTAAACATAATTTAGATTTATACAGTCATTATAGAAGTAATACATCCAATAGCATTAAAAAGATGACTGAATGTAGTAAAATTTCTTCCTATACTGATGACCATGAGTATACTCTAATAGGAGAGAAATTATGGAACCATAATCAAAGTAGAACAAATCTCAGTTATAAACAAGTACCCTCTCGATATCAGAAAATTCATACGGGAGAGAAATCCTATGACTGTGCAGAATTTGGAAAGATCTTCACCCATAAATCACAGCTCAAGGTACATATGAGAGTTCATACAGGAGAAAAACTCTATGTATGTATTGAATGTGGCAAGGCTTTTGTGCATAAGCCAGAATTCATCACACATCAAAAAACCCATACTAGAGAAAAGCCCTATAAATGCAATGAATGTGGAAAGTCCTTTTTCCAAGTGTCTTCTCTCTTCAGGCATCATAGAATTCACACTGGAGAGAAACTCTATGAATGCAGTGAATGTGGGAAAGGCTTCTCTTATAACTCAGATCTCAGTATACATCAGAAAATTCATACTGGAGAGAGACACCATGAGTGTGGTGACTGTGGCAAAGCATTTACACAAAAGTCCACACTCAAGATGCATCAGAAAATTCATACAGGAGAGAGATCCTACATATGTATTGAATGTGGACAGGCCTTCATCCAGAAGACACACTTGGTTGCACACCGAAGAATTCATACTGGAGAAAAGCCATATGAATGCAGTTACTGTGGGAAAGCCTTCATTTCCAAGTCTCAACTCCAGGTACATCAACGAATTCACACAAGAGTAAAGCCCTATTCATGTACTGAATATGGGAAGGTCTTCAACAATAGTTCTAACCTCGTTGCAAATAAGAAAGTTCAAATTAGAGAGAAATCATCCATATGTGCTGAATGTGGGAAGGCCTTTACTTACAGGTCAGAGTTAATTATTCATCAGAGAATTCACACTGGAGAGAAACCCTATGAATGTGGTGACTGTGGAAAAGCCTTTACTCAGAAGTCAGCACTCACAGTGCATCAGAGAATTCATACAGGAGAAAAATCCTATGTGTGCACAAAGTGTGGGCTGGCCTTCATCCAGAAGGCACACTTGATTGCACATCAAATTATTCATACTGGAGAGAAACCTTATAAATGTGGTCACTGTGGGAAATTCTTTACTTCCAAGTCACAACTGCATGTGCATAAACGAATTCACACAGGAGAAAAACCTTACATGTGCAATAAATGTGGGAAGGCATTCACCAACAGGTCAAATCTCATCACACATCAGAAAACTCATACAGGAGAAAAGTCTTATGTATGTTCTAAATGTGGAAAGGCCTTTACTCAGAGATCAGACTTGATAACACATCAGAGAATTCATACCGGAGAGAAACCTTATGAATGCAGTACCTGTGGAAAAGCCTTCACCCAGAAGTCACACCTCAATATACACCAGAAAATTCACACTGGAGAGAGGCAGTATGAATGCCATGAATGTGGGAAAGCCTTCAATCAGAAATCAATACTCATTGTGCATCAGAAAATTCATACGGGGGAGAAACCCTATGTATGCACTGAATGTGGAAGAGCCTTCATCCGAAAGTCAAACTTCATTACTCATCAAAGAATTCATACAGGAGAGAAACCTTATGAATGCAGTGATTGTGGGAAGTCCTTCACGTCCAAGTCTCAGCTGCTGGTACATCAGCCAATTCACACAGGCGAGAAACCCTATGTGTGTGGTGAATGTGGAAAGGCCTTTAGTGGCAGGTCAAATCTCAGTAAACACCAAAAAACCCACACAGGAGAGAAGCCTTACATCTGTTCTGAATGTGGGAAGACCTTCAGACAGAAGTCAGAGTTGATTACACATCACAGAATTCATACTGGAGAGAAACCTTATGAATGCAGTGACTGTGGGAAATCTTTCACTAAGAAATCTCAGCTCCAAGTGCATCAGCGAATTCACACAGGCGAAAAGCCTTATGTGTGTGCTGAATGTGGCAAAGCCTTTACTGACAGGTCAAATTTGAATAAACACCAAACAACACACACTGGAGACAAGCCCTACAAGTGTGTAGTCTGTGGGAAAGGCTTTGTTCAGAAATCCGTGCTCAATGTGCACCAGAGTATTCACACTTAAACAGTATGAGAAAAACCTTACAGAGGACATGATACTATTGAATCCATGCAACAGAATAATATGTATATTATTGTAAGTAGAAATGCCCACAGCAGAATGTGACACTGTACTGTTTACAAGAGGACCTCTGAGAAGGAGCTGAATGGCGGGGTGGGGGGATTCTTCATTGTCATCACCATTGTTAAATCCTGGGGCATACTGAAAAGGAACTGGTGCTTTAGAGGAAGCCTTCTCATGAAAAATACAGTGGAATATAGGTACCAAATTCTTCATAGGAAGGATAAAGTTATAATCATGATAATCCTCTTGGTGGAATAGGGACAATGCCAACAAATTGAACAGTAAAACAACACAATATAGAGGGTGGTGATATGTCCTTAGTTCTGTAAGTTGTTTCCTGAAGAACATATCTAACAGGCATGGGGGTTTTCATTCTTTGGTTGAATCTAACACATTTGTGTATATTCAGTCTACCATTGCTACTTCTATCAAGGAAGTGATATAATAAAAAATATTCCTTATCTATACTGACACAAAAGAGTGTATGTGGATTCACCATTGTCATCTAACACAGGATTTGTCACCACACTTACAGCTACTTGTAGTGTCTTCGAGCCTCAGAAGCTATCATCACATTGTCTTCTGACCCCCAGCATAGTATCTTTTGAACTCAGTTCACTATCTTTGGGAGAGCCATTTAAGGTAAGAATTTTCAAGCCATCTGGGTCAAATTAAGTCTCCCTTATGTCACAGTTCTTCACACTTATTTGCCTTCCTTAATGACTCAACTTATATAAGAACAAATCACTAACTTATAACAAACCCCAACATATATTATGTTCTGTGTTCATCTTCATGTCATGTACTCCACAAAGACCTCCCCACATGCCTTCAACACATTCATTTAGTTCCTGTCTTGGACCTTTGAATTTGCTGTGCCTCTGCACAGAGCACTGTTTTTCATTGTATCTTTGTAGCTTTCCCCTTTATGCCTTTCCTCCAAGGTCACCTCATAGCCCTTCCCTACCTGATTAAAATCCAAGCCCCCTCTACCTTCCCCTTTTATCTTTCTCCATAGCACTTATGCCATGGAACCTTATCTATGATGCTTTTTTGCCTATGGCTCCCACTCTAGAATTTTTTTGTTTTCTTCACCACTATGAGCCTAGACCCATGTCTACCATATAGCAGGCATATGCACATTGTAGAGTATTGACCCATCCTTACCCCAGATTCCCTCAGTTCCTTTCTGTTTTGCAGCATATGAGGCTCCAAAAGGGAGAACCAGCTTGCTTAAAACATGGTAAGAATTTCCATCTTTAGGGCTGGGGATGTGGCTCAAGCRGTAGCACGCTYGCCTGGCATGCGTGCGGCCCGGGTTCGATCCTCAGCACCACATACAAACAAAGATGTTGTGTCCGCCGAAAACTAAAAAATAAATAGTAAAAAATTTAAAAAAAAGAATTTCCATCTTTAATGTTTACTTAAGCTGTGTCCCTTCCTAGCCCTAAAGTTAAATAAAGTCTATAAAATTTCTCGATACTAACCCATTTAAAGAAAAAAAGTTTAAGTATAGAAAATCCCAGGATTCCCTGCCATGATTCTAAAATTCCAAAATGTCAGTTCTAGAGTAATTTTTTTAAATCCCACTCATTTTGAAGCCCCTGCATTCACAGTTCTACGCTGCACGAAGTCCAGGGTTCTAACACCAAATAATTCCATATGTAGATGTGCTTATCCTGTTTTGACAGGTGTGCCAAGTATGAAAGGGCCAAGAGTAGGCAGGGGTGGATCTTGCAAATTAGGTGGCCAACCCAAGATAGGTAACAGTAGCTCACAGATACTTGGGCATGTTTTGAAGTTCAGCTTCTGGATGGCCTTACTGGAGCCAGCAGAATGATTTGTCTAGGGCCAATGCATTGGCAATGCTAGGAGTGGGAAATAGGCTGTGCAGAGATGGTCTTGTCCTTGTGAAGGGCAAAATGAAGAGGTAAGGATAGAGACCAAGAGATGACCTGATCAAGGGGGGAGGGCTGGGGATTTATTGCCCTGGATCCTGATGGGGCAGTGCTCCATGATCTATCTCACTATCCTTGCCTAGCTTAATATCTGCTCATCCACATTTATGTCTCCACACTCTTCCTTCACTGAATCTGATGATGCACAGGATGACCTTCCCTTCTTAGAAGATTGTTGTTGACCATTACTTCCTTTTCCCCATCCAGCACTGTAGCTAATATTTCACTACTGTCACCAACTTAGAATATCTTGAGACCCTCCATTTCCCCCCAACTTAGGACAGTGGCTACTGACCTTTCAGAGTAATTATGGTCACCTTTTCCCCCTTCTTAATCTGCCCCAGAATAATGTCTGTCCACTCTCTCTTATCCCCTTTTTATGTGTGTCACCCCTACTTAATCCCTGGAAATAGTACCTGTAGATTTTATTACTTCCTCCCTCCCCCAATTATTTCACTTCAGCATATTTGTTACTTCATCCCATTTGTGACAATGTCTGCTAACTTCCATACTCCAGTGTCTGATGACCACTTAATACAACGTCAGAATTAAGAAATATTGGCAAATCCAAATATTAGCTGATAATTTTATTACATCTCTAGGGGGATGTGTGATCCCCCTCCACTTATTTGTCCATCACAGTGGTAACCAGTGATCTTCTATTACTCACTTAGCAGTGTCTGTAACTATCCCCAACTTGGTGATTTTTCCAATATGGTCCATACTGTTAACCTGCCTTTCTCCTCTGTAGTAAAGGCAAATGGCTGATAACAAACCATAACCACATTTCCCATCTACATTTTGGAGCCTCCATTGCACTCTCCATAGCACCCTATTAACAATAGGACAATTATGATGGGGGCCCTACATTCCCATGTCTGTTATGTCTTGACCAGTGACACAGTATCTGTGACCCCTCCCTATCAAATCCTGGCAATATATGCTGGTTCCTCACTAACCCCTCTAGCATAACGTCTGTTGATTCCTCACTGCCCCCATTACTTTTTGAGGCCCACAGTCGTCATTGACTACTCCCAAGTTTCTCAGCACTGCTTCCCCATGTTTGTAGATAGAAGGCCTGATGGATAAGGATGAGGTCCCAGCCTCATAGACACCCACCTTCTGAGTGCCTCATAAAGCACAGGGCAATTATCAACCCAGGATGGCTGAGGAGGATSTGGGGATATCAGGAGATCACAAGTTGAGCTTCAAATTTTTGAGGAGTGACACAAGAAGAATGGTGAGTGAAAGCTGTGAACCTAGGTTCAAATTCTGGCACAACAGTGATCTATTTAGGAATCACTGTCCAGGAGTTGCCTTGATTGCCTCACCTTTAAAATGGGGTTATGGAATTTGCTGGTAAGTGGATGGAACTAGCATAACATGTAGACAATCACGCTACAAGTAAAATAAGCCCCCAAAGTCAAAGGTTGAATGTTTTCTCTGATATGCAGAAACTAGTTCAAAATAAGGGATAATAAGAAAGAGAGAATGGGGGGAAAGGGAGGGAGGAATTCCATCAAAACAGAAGAAAAAATTGTTGAACTAATGAAGGGAATTGATGGCAGAGAGGTGGAGTGGGGTAAGGGAAGGACAGTAGCATTGATCTGACTTAACTTTTATGTACATATATGAATCTTACCATCATGTATATCCACAAGCATTAAGAAAAAAAGAAAAACTATAAATAGCAGAAATACCAGTAGAGGGAACAGGGGAAGGAATGGGGAAGGAATGGGGACTAAGTTAGAGGAAATGATAGTCCATGTTTTTATAATTATGCAAAAATGAACCCTGATGTTATGTATAAGTAAAAAGAGTCAATAAAAATGGGGTTATGCAAGAATGAAGTGCCAATATGGGTTACATGATGGGAGCAGGACTGGCAGAGCCCAATGAGGGTGCCCTATTGCTTAAATTATAAGCTGACACAAGCACCTGACCATCCTCTACAGGCCCAGGCCTCATGGAGGGAAAACATTTTGTTGTAAATTAACTTACCATTATTTTCCTTTTATAGTTGTCATAGCATAACAYAGTACTAATACATGACTAGGGGGCTATGACTTTTTACATTTTAAGTCTTAGGGTCACACACAAAATTAGAAGTTACAGAGATTTCCCATACATTTCTACCACTGCATTCATAGTCTCTTCCATTTTCACATCCCCTCACCAGAGTGGTACATTTGGGTTTTTTTTTCTAATTAATCTACAATTTTTATTTGTTTTAATTAGTTACACTTGAAAGTAGACTGCATTTTGACTTACACAATTTGTTTACAATTGAAGAACCTACATTGACACTCATTATCACCCAAAGTTCACAGTTTACATTAGAATTCATTTTTATTAGCACTTTTATTTTTTAATAGAGCTTTATGGTTATATATAATAGTTGGTTTCTCCCAACAAACTCATAATGCATGGAAATTGATATCAGTTCATGATCCCCCTTTTTCCTCCCATCTCCCCCCTTTCTCTACTAGACTTCCTTTTGCTTGTCTATTAATTTGTATTCAATTGTTTCCTTATGTAATCTTATGATACTGTACATTCTACAGGTTGAGACAAACTAATAATGACATGTATTCATCATTAGGATACAGAGTAGTTTTACCGCCCTAAAAATCCTCTGTATATTTCTCCCCRCTASCTCCTGGCATCTTTTTACTCTCTCCATAGTTTTGTATTTTCCAGAATGTTATACAGTTGAAATCATACAGTATTAGATAGCCTTCTTTCAATTAGTAATATGTATCTAGGTTTCCTTTATGTCTTTTCATGGCTTGATAGCTCATTTCTTTTTAGTGCTGTACAATATTCCATTGACTGGATGTGCCACAGTTTATTTATCCAACCACTGAAGGGTATTTTTGTTGCTTACAGTTTTAGGATATTATGAATAAAGCTGCT